GCGTGTCGCCCGTATCAAAAACCGCTACTGACGATACATATAGTTATAATTATAGAAGTTATAGCATATTATACAAAATTAGTTATTATTAGAATAGACATAACATAATTTGGATATCACATGATATCAAACAGAAGCTGTCAGCTCTGTAATGTGGGCAATCAATAATAAAGCAGTTCATTATTGCTGTAGATTCGAGCGGCTCTTCATATTTTTGGCCACCAGATGTCACCAAACACGACTGTGTGTGAAAAGCTTCAAGTAATGAACAGTTTTTCAACATAAGTGCTAATGCTTCAGATAGCTTCATTTGGCCATCGCTATTGAAAATCTTTGCCGGGAGAGGGAGCGTGAAGCTGGGCGATTAATCCACTGAGTGTGATCCGGTGTCCGAGTGGCGGAACCAGAGGGCTGTAGCACAAAGAAGAAAAGGTAAGTACATAGACTTGGGCGCTCATGAGTCGTAAGAGCCTGTTACCTACCTAGGTAAGCTGACACAGAGACAGCAAAACTGGTCTTAAATACCCTCAGTAGATTGCCCCAGATTAGCTCCAGGTGAGTTGGACATCTGAGGAGGTCACAGCTCCGCCCAGAGGCGGACATCGGAGAATATGGAACTCAGTGGTAATTTACCAGCAGCGCACCCGGACCGTGACAACAGTTTCAGTAAGCGAACTCTAAATTTCTTAGTAAATTACTTCATCATCTGTAAAAAGTGAAAATCCCAACCCATTTTCTTATTTCCTTAAATACGAGCTCACCTTACTTATTTATAGTGTTTATTACTCCAGACAGGTCAGTCCCCCCTCATCCATCTGTAGCCTGCTTCGACCCAGATTACAGATATGGTGATAAATCCTTCTCTCCACATTATAATAATTGTTTTTTGTTTGTTTGTTTGTTAAAAAAACAGGGTCTGAATGTCCTCTGTTCACTTTTAATCTCATGCTTTGAACATCACCATCCTTTAAATAGCCGACTTCTGGTAGGATCACGTGGTCAAGTGGAAGGTGCCCTTTTTTTATGTGTGACGTGACTGTACAGACTTCAAAAACGCTGGGACGTCGAAGCGCTAACTTTGCCTCGATACATGAAAAGACGTCAACAAAACGTTTAAAACGTGTTATGATCGCTGCAATAAACACGAGTACGTCAGCGAAGAGTTTGGAGTCATATTAGCACTGTCACCCACACAGCAAATGTTGCTTCTTCTTTTTTAACCTTCTGACTTCCGTCATTTCCCTAGGTCCCCTGAACGTACCTCCCCATATAGCGGACATAATTCAACTGGTAAGGAGCCAAGAATGAGCTCAGACATTCAGGATGACTTTTCTGCTAAACGTGTCGTATTCTTCCGGCAGTATCCACTCTAAGGCGGCGAAGATTTGACTCCAAAGCGATCGGACAGCGTCTTACAGTCATCTGCTATTTATAGAAGCTCTTACTTATTATGTAAGCCGTTTCTTGTATCAAATTTAAATGTATTCATGCAGCATAAATCCACTTCCTGCCTCGCACAATACTCTCATGTCTAGAGGCGTCATATATATTATGAATAGCTGTGTTCATGCATGATGCAACATCTGGGGAGCACATCCAGCTGTAAGCCGAGCACAAAGTACTGACTCTCTCTCTCTCTGTCTATCCATCTTTCCGTCTGTCCACCTGACTGCAGTCTGCATACAGTGCCACACTGCTGCTGCTGCTGCTGCTGCTGCTGTCGGCTGATACAAGCGAGTGGGAGGCACAGCTTCCTCTGTTTTCCCTCAAAAAAATGAACAGACATCTTATTGGAGCAGCTGCTGAAGGGGTGGATTTGGCTTCCAGTCTCCTGCATTGCACAATCTTTTCCCTCAGCTCGGACAGATAAAGAAGACAAAAGAAAGGAGTACTGGAAGGGGAGGAGGACTGGGAGCGGAGGGGATATATATGTATGTATCCATAAAGGAAAAGACTAGGAAGAGCCACGGTGAGGTGAAGGGGGTGTGAAAGAAAACAGATTACAAAAAAAAGAAGGACGGGAGAGGCTTAAGTACGAGGACATGAAGAGAGGAAGTGGCAGGGGCAGGAAACTGAAGATAGAGTGACTACACTGCAGCAGAATGAGGGTTAGAGTGAAAGCAAGAGCTGGGAAGCATTTGAGCTCCGCATCCGTGGCTTTCTGAAGAGACACGAAAAAAGAAGGCACCGTGGAGGTGAGACGGAGACGGAGGAGGGGGGCTGAGGAGGAGGAAGCCAGAGGTTCTACACACAAGATGGCTGCTGTGTCCTCTGCCTCTGACACTGGTAAGTGGCTTTTTAATATTTTGCCAGACACCTCACAGCCAGCTCGACATCATCACCTTTAGTTTAACAGCAGCATCCTTTTTCAAACGTCGGCTGGAGGCGGAAACTGTTGCTCGTGTCAACTTCTGTGATTGGTGGCATACATGGAAAGTCAGTGAGCATCATTAATCAATAAACTTCTCTCTGCATCTCATACTCTCCTCCATCTCCTCCTCCTCATGGAGCACGCATCACTCCTCTGAGCATCTTCTGGATATTCAAATACTTCTCTGATGCCTTTGAAAAAAAGAAGAATCGAAACTCAGAGTGCGTCATGTTTCGAGTGGTGTGTCTGCCTCTGGTTTTCTGAAATCTGAGGACAGATGAAAAGATGAGGGATGCTGGGAGATCAGCCAAAGCGGGACAGAGACGCGAATGAACGAGGAGCCAGGGAAAGAGACGAGGTATAAGGTAGCAAGCTTCTCAGATAAGATGAGAGCAGAGAGGGAATGGAAGGAGGGAGGCCAGGAAAGAAGGGGTGGATGTAGAATTGCGTTGCAGTGTGAAGGATGCAGAGGTGCAGTCATCTCCAAAACACAGTAGGACGACTGAATAGTGGGTTTAAACAAATTAAGATCCAAAATCTATTCAGACAGAATGTTAAAAGTATATACCTCTACCTAGGTTTGATCCCTGGCTCCTTCACCTTTGGACAAGATGCTGAACCCCGAGTTGCCTCTGATGCATCCATCAGATTATGGCTG